TCTACATATTTCTAACTTCTGTTTTTATTAGCTAGTCATTGATAAAATAAGTGCCATGTCAAAAAGTATACAGTTTCTTCCTTTTCTTTAATTGTAAGTGTTAGTGTGATTAAAAGAATATTAGAATGTGCAGACATGGATAGACTAACACTTACAATTAAGGCTGAGTCAACCTTGAGCTGGTCAGAATCGAACTGCTGGCAGTTGGCAGAATTAGCCTGCAATGCTGCATTCTAACCACTGCACCACCGTGGCTCCTTTAAGTGTGGAAAACGTTCGTAAGTCCCCTTTCTCAGTGCCATTTTAAACGAATGATTGTTAAGTCAAGGACTACTTGCATCACCCAAGTTATTAAATGATGATGTAACGTATGTCTTTCCAGGATAAAAAGTTCTTAAGCTCAATGAGAGACTGTGAAGTTGATGTCACTGCTTTGGCTTCCCTGCCGTGAGAGAAAGAGATCTGGAACAGCAAATAAGTAGATTTATCTACACCCTGAGAAGCAAAGAGATAAAAACCCTGCTGTGCTTAAATTAAACTGTACAAAACCTTCTACAGCTCTCGGTTCATTGAGCCCTTTTGCAATTACGGTTAGCACTTTTGAGAGAAATTTCACAGACTTTATGGCATCTCACTCTGTCTAGTTCACAACCCCTGGTCCATGGACAGGCAGCAAAACATTTTCCATGGCTTCCCTACTTTATAATACCACTTTATAATGCCTTGGAAAGGCCACTCTTGGAATACTACATCCAGTTTTGGTCGCCACGATGTAAAAAAGAGGTTGAGATTCTAGAAAGAGTGCAAATAAGAGCAACAAAGATGGTGAGGGGACTGGAGGCTAAAACATATGAAGAATGGTTGCAGGAACTGGATAGATCTAGTTTGATGAAAAGAAGGACTAAGGGTGACATGACGGCAGTGTTCCAATATTTGAGAGGCTGCCCCAAAGAAGAGGGAGTCAGGCTATTCTCCAAAGCACCTGAGGGCAGGACAAGAAGCAATGGGTGGAAACTAATGAAGGAGAGAACCAACCTAGAACTAAGGAGATATTTCCTGACAGTTAGAACAATTAACCAGTGGAACAATTTGCCTCCAAAAGTTGCAAATGCTCCAACACTGGAAGTTTTTAAGAAGAGATTGGACAACCATTTGTCTGAAGTGGTGTAGGGTTTCCTGCCTGAGCAGAGTGGGTTGGACTAGAAGATCTCCAAGGTCCCTTCCAACTCTTCTCTTCTCTTCTTTTCTCTTCTCTTCTCTTCTCTACTCTACTCTACTCTACTCCTCTCTTCTCTTCTCTTCTATTCTATTCTATTCTATTCTATTCTATTCTATTCTATTCTATCCAAATGATATTAAATACTTGTGTAAAGTAAATTATAATCTACTCTAGATTATAGAATCTAGGGCAGAAGAAGAGGGCATAGGTTACTCCGTCAAAGGAGGCCCTTTCTCCAGAATTCCACCCTTCTGTCATTCCCACCCACCCCCGCCCCTACATCTAGCACTATCTTACTTGATTCATCCAATGCTCTTGGTGTTTGCAAGCCCTAATCATGTTCCCCGATGTGTGGGGGAATTGTTATCTTCTGCAGTGAGGCAAAACTAACACCCTGTAATTACTGTGAGAAGCTGGCAGAGTCCCTTTGCTCTTCCAGCCAGGCAAGCCGAGGAGAGCGCGAAGGGGGAGGGAGAAGACAGGCTCTTGGCAAAGGCGGGTGCCAAGCGTTGGGAAACTTCCCGCGATTCCCATGGTGCTAAATTGCTCACTCCGGTTCGGAGAGAGCATGAAGCCTTTCGCTCTGGGAACACAATTCAGCCAGGGATACCTGAACCGCATCCGGGGTTGGTTTCTAGGCAGTGCCATGAAGTGGAATCATTCCTAATTACTGGAGCTTGTAACGGGCGTGGTCGCATCTGCCGGGCCTTTCTCAAGTAGAGTTTTGGAGCAGTGGTGGAATTCAAATTTTTTTTTACTAGCGGTTCTGTGGGCATGGCTTGGTGGGCGTGGCAGGGGAAGGATGCTGCAAAATCCCCATTCCCTCCCCACTCCACTAACCTGCTTTCCAGCTCCATTCTCCTGTGCAGGGCAACAAAAGTATTTCACGAGAAGAGTACTACACTCCTCTGCTCGCATCAAAATACCCTACATCACCAGGCTTGAGGTTTTGGGCTTGGACAACCTTGCACTATGCCCCCTACGGTTGGACTTAAGTGTAGCACACAAAATTATCTGCTACAATGTCCTACCGGTCAATGACTACTCCAGCTTCAACTGCAACAACACAAGAGCACCCAATAGATACAAACTCAATGTAAACTGCTCCAAACTTGATTGCAGAAAGTAGGACTTTAGCAACAGAGTGGTCAATGCCTGGAATGCACTACCTGACTCTGTTGTTACATTCTCTAACCGCCACTCCTTTAACCTGAAATTATCCACTATTGACCTCACCCCATTCCTAAGAGGTCTGTAAGAGGCGTGCATAAGTGCACAATCGTGCCTACTGTCCCTGTCCTATTGTCCCCATTTATTTGTACCTATTTTGCGTATTCTTACTCATGTTTATACTTATACCTATTATCTTGCAAGCAATTGACAAATCATATCAATAAATAATAAAAGAAGACCCAGCCGATCAACTGGGACTCAATGGGAGGCAGAGAATAGATGGGGGTGGAATCAGTCAGAGGCGGTATTTGCCGGTTCTCCGAACTACTCAAAATTTCTGCTACCGGTTCTCCAGAACTGGTCAGAACCTGCTGAATTCACCACCTCTGATCCCTGGGGTCACATGATCCCCTTTTGTGACCATCTGACAAGCAAAGTCAATGGGGGAATCCAGATTCACTTAACTGTGTTACTAACTTAGCAACTGCTGCGATTCAACTTAGTTGAATCAAAACAAGAAAGGTCATGAAATGGGTCAAACCTCACTGAACAACTGCCACGCTTAAGCAATGGAAATTTTGGACCCAATTGTGATCGCAAATCAATCCGTGTTCCCAGATGAGAGCTTAAGGAGTGAGGAAGCAATTTGGGAACCTATATAACAGATTGGCTATCCTGAGGTATGATTATTTAAATAGGGAACTTCATAGGAGGGATGCGGTGGCTCAGTGGCTAAGACGCTGAGCTTGTTGATCAGAAAGTTTGGCAGTTCGGCGTTTCGAATCCCTAGCGCCACATAACGGAGTGAGCTCCCATTACTTGTCCCAGCTTCTGCCAACCTAGCAGTTCGAAAGCATGTAAAAAATGAAAGTAAAAAAATAGGGACCACCTCAGTGGGAAGGTAACGGCCAGTGGTCGGATTCAAATTTTTTTTTACAACTGGTTCTCTGGGCGTGGCTTGGTGGGCGTGGCAGGGGAATTCCCATTCCCTTCCCACTCCTGGGGGAAAGTCCCACTAACCTGCTTTCCAGCTCCATTCTCCTGTGTAGGGCAACCAAAGAAGACCCAGCCAATCAGCTGGGACTCGGGAGGCAGAGACTAGATGGGGGCGGGGCCAGTTAGAGGGGGTATTTGCCGGTTCTCCGAACTACTCAAAATTTCCACTACCGGTTCTCCAGAACTGGTCAGAACCTGCTGAATACCAACTCTGGTAACAGCGTTCCGTGCACCTTCAGCATTTAATCATGCTGGCCACATGACCACGGAGACATCTTTGGACAGCGCTGGCTCTTTGGCTTTGTAACGGAGATGAGCACCACCCCCTAGAGCCAGAAATGACTAGCACGTAGGTGAGAAGGGAAACTTTACCTTTAGGAACTTCATAATGCAAGAAGAATAGTTGAAGGACAGTTTTGTGCCTGGTAATTTTGCTTTAGCAAGAGTTGAGTTCCACATTGGGGACTTGTAAGCAGAAAGTGGCTGAGATTTTCTCCATTTGGTCTGGAAAAAGCACCAGGGATTTCTCTGGAGAAGCGTGTTACATCAGATTGTTTACTAGAGATTTTTCTTTGGGAAAGGAGAGTTTATTTTAAGCATTTCTTCCCTTCCCCCTTCAAGAGTCGTCTTGTTAGCAACAAAAGAGCCACATTTGCATCATCAGAGCAAATCCCATGGATGAAGTAATGGAAAGGCAGACGGAAGGTGTAGAGTGGAGAGAAGGGTTTGGTGGCAGGGAACCAACAGAAGCCAAAGAGGTTCTTGGTTCAAACTTCAACGTGGCCAAAAACCTAACCAGGAAATTAGAGAACCTGAAAATGTTCCATTAGCCTTAGACTGTGCAAAGCTCTTAAAAGAAGAATTCACAAGGACGCACATAAAGGCCTCTTTCTGAATCATGAAAGCAACCACATTTTGGAAACATCTTGGGTGGAAACTCAAGAAATCAAGTAATCAAAAAGGGAACCAACTAGAACTAAGGAGAAATTTCCTGACAGAACAATTAATCAGTGGAATGACTTGCCTCCAAAAATCGTGGGTGCTCTAATATTGTAGGTTTTTAAGAAGAAATTGGACAATCACATGTCTGGAATGATATAGGGTTTCCTGCCTGAGGGGGGGGTTTGAACTAGATGATCTCCAAGATCCCTTGCAGCGCTATTATTCTATCACTATTGTTGTATGTACCCTGAGAGCTTATGCATCGGAGACAAATTTCTTGTGTGTCTAATCACACTTGGCCAATAAGGGCTTCTAATATTAATTAATCAGTGGAACGACTTGCCTCCAGAAACTCTGGATGCTCCAACACTGGAAGTTTTTAAGAAGAGATTGGACAACCATTTGTCTGAAGTGGTGCAGGGTTTCCTGGCTGAGCAGGGGGTTGGACTAGAAGACCTCCAAGGTCCCTTCCAACTCTGTTATTCTGTTAATTCTGTTATTCTTTTTCCAAGCATGTGTAGTTGCTTCAGAAGATGCTTCTGGATGTCTCCATTTCCAGGAGAAATTCCAACAGATTCCCCCCCCGCCCCCCCGTAGATTTACACAGCCACGCTCCAGATCTGTTTTAACATTTGTAATTGTCTTGGCTTCTGAGACTAAGAGCCTGGGGTTATGTACAGATGTACTGGCTGAGATGTTTTGGAGAATAAGGGGCTCTGCAGGTAAAAAGAAAAGGCTGTCCAATGGGAAAAAAACCCACAATATAATGAGGATGACGATGATTATCCCTGATATGTATACTAAGAAGAGTGATGCTGCGAAGCAGCTTCTTGTGACAAACGCAGGCAATCTGTGCTGTGTTTTCTTGCCAAGGGAAAATTGACTCCCGCCTTTTTATTTTAAGCTCTCATCCACTGTTTTGGCTTTGAAATAGGATTTCATTCTCTTCCCACCCTCCCTTTTATTTCCCTTATTGTTCGTGCTACTTCCTTGGTGTAAAGGAGAGACTCATTAAAAAAAACCTGCTGGTCGTTCTGAGCAAAAGATTTTCATTTAAAAAAAAAAGCCCTCTCCAAAATCCCTTTTTTATATAAAATGATAAAATGTAGTTTTTTCATTAGGAATGTTGATTACATCAACAAAAACCAATACAATCTGAGCTTAGAGAAGAGGCTAGGAAAAAAGAAAAGGGATATAATAAAGAAAAAGAAAACAAATATTTGAAGAAGTGACTTCCCACCTTCTATATCACAAGTACAGGCAGTCCTCGACTTATGACCACAGTTGAGCCCAAGATTTATGTTGTTGTGAGAATTTGTTAAAGTGAGATTTACGACCTTTCTTGCCACCATTGTTAAGTGAATCCCTGCAGCTGATAAGTTAGTAACCCGGTTGTTAAATGAATCTGGCTTGTCCATGGACTTTGCTCGTCAGAAGGTCGCAAAAGGGGATCACATGACCCCAGGACACTGAAACCATCATAAGTATGGGTCAACTGCCAAGCATCTGAATTCTGATCCCATGATCACGGGGATGCTGCAAAAGGTCGTAACCATGAAAAACGTCCACAAGTCACTTTTTTCAGTGCCATTGTAACTTTGAATGGTCACTGAATGAAGTGTTGTAAGTCGAGGACTATCTGTATAAACAAATTTAGTAGCTCTGTACCCTTTGTCAGGTTACAGACAGATATCTCTTGATCCTATATCTCATCCTTTGTCTCTACGCAAACGCATAAAACATCCATTTTTCAACCCAGGTGTCAGCAAAAAAAAGTCCATAAAGCCGTGATGGCGAACCTATGGCAGGTGGCACGCAGAGGCATTTGTGCGGGCACGTGAGCCCCAGGCAAACGTACCTCACTGTGCATGTGTGCACCTCCCAGCTGATTTTCAGGCCTTTTCCGGCCTGCCAGAGTCTTGAGGGAAGCCTCTGCAGGCTTTGCAGGATGAAAAATAGGCCCGTTTCATCACTTCCTGTATTTCGGGAAATACCAGAAGTGACGAAATGGGCCCATTTTTCCAGCCTGCAAAGAGGCTTTCCTCAAGACTCTGGCAGGCTGTAATAGGCCTCAAACAGCCCGAAAAATCACCTGGGAGGCGCAGTGCAGGTAAGGGGGTGGCGTGGAGGGGGGGGATTGTGCGTGCACAAGGAGTATGGGGTGGCTGCGCGCATTGCCTTCTGAGTGCTGGCATGCGAGCACTCATGCACAATTTTTGGCACAGGAGCCCAAAAAGGTTAGCCACCACTACCATAAAGGATTGGCAGAACTTTGCAAAAAAAAATTCTTCTTTTAATCGTGATCAAATAAACCAACTTTATATTTGTTCCTTTTCCTTCTAAAAGTCTTAATCTTTTAACTCAATCAAATATTGTCACAGGGTTGAATTTCCCTTCGGTTCTTCTTTGTCTCCAAACATTTAACAAGCCTCTTGTAGTTTCAATAAGGAAACATTTTCCAGTCCCATTCTCCTGGTTTGTCATTTGTATTTCTCTTTTGATTTTTAAAGTTTCAGTTAGTTTCTTTTATACGTCCAATCGAGTATCTTTTTCCAAATCATTCTCTTGCCCTGTCATTTGTGGTACCTCTGAAATTCTTGATGTTATTCCCCCAGGCTGATTTCTTCTTGTTTGCTCCTAATTTAAGAATCGCTTCCCTGCTACAAATGGCAGCAACTACACATAGATGACCCCTTTATATTGCTATGCCCCAAAGGCGGATTGTGCTTTTATTACATAGCGCACCATTTTTCTCACTAGCTGCTCTTTCTGGAGGTTTTTATTAGGAAAAAAATCAACTTAACGTTGGCAGGTGATTGCATCAACAGATTTGGAGTTTTCCACCTGCATCTTCCTAAATTCTTCTTTTCTTAGATCTTTATAAATAGGAAGTCTGCTTCTTTGAAATTTTAAATTTCTTGCTGCAAAGCCCTTTTGGGGCGGGGGCACTTTTGGGAAATACAGGTAGTCCTCGGTTTATAAGAGTTCATATAGTGAGCGTTCAAAGTTACAACGGTACTGAAAAATGTGACTTATGACTGTTTTTCACAGTTATGATCTTTGCAGTATCCCCATGGTCACGTGATCAAAATTCAGAGACTGGATCCTATTTATAACGGTTGCTATGTCCCAAGGTCACGTGATACCCTTTTGCGACCTTCTGACAAGCAAAATCCACGGGGAAGCCAGATTCATTGAACAACCATGTTGTTCACTTATCCACTGTGTCAAAAAATGTTGTAAAATGGGGCAAAACTCACTTGTCTCACTTAACAAGAGAAATTTTGGGCTCAATTGTGATTGTAAGTCGAGGACTACCTGTAAAAAGAAAATAAGTTCTTTAAAGATTGAATTGGGATACAGTGGGTGAGACTCGGGGGTGGGATTCAACCGATAACTGGTTTGGTGAGCATAACGCTTTGCACAGCATGCGCAGTGTTTGAAAATCATCTCCTGCAATGAGCTGTGCCGCACAAAGCAGCTGAGGTTGAAAAAGCAGGAAATAAAGGACAGGTGAGAGCCCGGGCAGCTGGGCGGCTGGTCCAAACAAAAGAACAGAAGATCGTTGGAACGAACCGGTTCCCTCTCAGCTGATCTTTGAAGCTACCGGTTCGGCTAAACCGGGCTGAGCCAGTAGAATCCCACCTCTGGTGAGAGTAGAAGAGCAAACAATGGACAACCGACACACAACTTGGCAGCCTGACAATTTCAGGCTTTTCTTTCTTTGTTACAAGTGTCTAATCTTCGTTTACTTTATTCTCTGCACTGACATGCTGACGGTGGTTGTTGTTTTTTTAAACGGTTATTTAAAAGCCGCAGTTGTTTTACAACTCCCCCTACATGTTGTTCTGCCCACCCTTGCTGTAATTTTTCTTGCCTCGTGGCCTGTGCTTTTGAAGGTGACCTTCTCTTGCTCACCTATTCAGAAGGTAGAAGAGGTTTAACAACACTGTGTACATTGTGCTAATGAAATATTTATAAGCCGCCTTTCGGCAGCAAATCTATCCAAGGAGCGAAGCAAACAAAGGATACGGATAAAAATAAAACAGTGCATTAATTATTTATTCTAGTACCCATTTAAAATGCCAAATGTGCTAGGCCTCCTGTCCTTGTCCTTCCCTGGGGTCCTTCTCTGCTGGTTCCACGTCAGCTCAGCTGACAGAAGTAAATCATCCCGAATTTTCCTTCTTTTGATGGCTAAAATCTCAGAAATCGGAGGAAAAACCAGCAATTCAGGATCCAAACTGGGAGGAATGTTGCAAAAACCTTTGATTGTCTCTTTTTAGCTTTTGAGTGATGTCTGATAGCTTGTTGTTTTGTGTAATAGTTGATGGTGCAGGATACACAGCCATGGCAAGAGGATTACATATGATTTGATTTGATAATGTGCCATTAGTTTCTGGCCCACTTTGTTCCTTCTGGCTGTTCCAAAGATCCATTCGTCATTATTTAAACTCTGCTGCTGGTCATCTTCTATTCCAGGGGTGGGCAAACTTTTTTGGCTCGGGGGCCGCATTGACTTTTAAAATTTGACAAACGGGCCGGGTCAGGACAAGATACGATACATATACATCAGCAGGGCTGACCCTCCCTCTTGAACCAACATCTAATTGGGGGGAGCAGACCGGCCTTCAGTCTCTTGCGAGAAACTGCTGGCTAACCCTGCAAACCGCTTGCCGAGATGTGTGTGTGTGGGGGCTTTCGCCTGCCTTTCCCCCCGCTCCGGCCGCCAGTTGCTCCTTGGGGCGCAGCTCTTAAAAGCCTGCTCCCAGCACCCGAGCAACTTCCCAGCAACTTTCAGCTTCCTTTTAACTCGCGGGCGCTCACGACTGGCCCCGAGCTGCGCGGCGCAGGGGAAACC